GGCCAAGAGGGCCAACAGCATCCTGGCTTGTGTCAGGAATGGTGTGGCCAGCAGTGACTGTCCCCACGTACTCCACGCTGGTGAGGCCACACCTTGAATACTGTGTTCAGTTTTGGCCCCTCACTATGAGAGGGACACTTAAGGTCTGGAGAGTGTCCAGAGAAGGGCAACGAAGGGGTCTGGAGCCTAAGGCTGCTGGGGAGCGTCTGGGGGAGCTGGGGGTGTTCAGCCTGGAGAAGAGGAGGCTGAGGGGAGACCTTATTGCTCCCTACAACTGCCTGACAGGAGGAGGGAGCTGGGGGAGGTCGGGCTCTGCTCCCAGGGAACGGGCAATGGGACGAGGGGAAACGGCCTCAAGTTGTGCCAAGAGATGTTTAGATTATATGTTAGGAAAAATTTCTTCACCAAAAGGGTTATCAAGCATTGGAAGGGGCTGCCCAGGGAAGTGGTTGAGTCCCCATCCCCAGATGTATTTAAAAGCTGGGTAGGTGTAGTGCTTAGGGACACGGTTTAGTGGTGGAATGGCAGTGTTAGGTTAATGGTTGAACTCAATAATCTTAAAGGTCTTTTCCAACCTAAATGATCCTATAGTTCTATTCTACAATTCCAATTTCCTCAGTTTGCTAATAAGCCTGTTTTCTTGGAGTTTGTCATTACTTCCATGCCCTTTGTTTTCTTTTTAAGAATCATGCACCCACATGGCTACTGTAAAAAAATGCCCTAAATGGGATATAAGCAAGACAAAGTCAGCTCTCCCCTGCAAGGTACTACAGGAAACATCAGGTGCTAAGCCAGCTCATTACTCCTGCCAGAGGGCTAAATACATGAAATGTACAATATAAACAGAGTTGTGAAGAATCTAGTTCACCTCTCCTCCCAGAACTTAAGAACTACCCAGAATTCTCTGCATTTTTAGGAAAAAAAAAATTGTTTGATGACTATAACATTTAATGGACTATATAGTGACTGTTCAAATCCACAGGTGAACATGCTTAAATTTGATGGAAACCCTTTGTGTTTCAGCTGTGGCTATGTTGATTGAAAAAACCAAAAATTCCTTATTAGACACTGCATAGCAACTACTCAACTGAACATGCGCTTTGTCAGCTATCAGTATCAGGAAATTATGAAGTTATACAATTTTATTTCCCAGGAAAAAAACAACTTTAGAAGAGTCACGGGAGTATGTGCTGCCTCATGACTGACCATCCCTGTACTAGAGCTGGTTGCACACCCAGCAGACCACTCACCTCATTTAAGATGCTCTCCAGGGTTGGAGGAGTATCAACTTGAGGAATGTCGAATTCTTTGTCATCGATCTGTACATCAAAAACCACAGACTGAGTTTAGGTTGCCTACTCCACCTTCCAAGTTTGGGGTTTTTTTTAAACTAAGGAAAAAAGCACCTGTGCATGCACTCCTTCCAACCTAGAAGGGCACCATATAAACTACTACAGTTATACAAAATGCATTGTCTGCAACAGAACAAGCGGTATTTATTATGCAAATTATGTAATAGTTCTCAGACTTCTACCCAGACTTGAAATTTCAAATGCCTTTTTTAATTTCCAAAGATCACCACTCTCTTTCTAGCAGGGACAGGCATCGATACACAAGATTTTCTGACTGCTTACTAATGGGGGAAAAAAAAGGCAGTTTGCTGAAAAATAAAAGATACTTTTATCTGAGACTTGCATTTCTGAAAATCGAGCTTTGTTACCGTAGGAAAGCTAGCCCTAGCACTACGGGCCTCCGTAACTACTGCTGTTCCGTCCCCACACCTCGCCGGCCTCCGTTCCCGCTGACTGCGCGACTAAGGCCTGACACCGCGCCTTCCAGGGCGCAGGATTATTTTAAACTCTTGATTAGCTGCTCCTCTAGCGCTCTGGCAGTACAAGCCCGACTGTTACCTGCGTTTTGCCCACCAGCAAAAACTGCATACGCCTGAGCTCCGAGGGGAGAATTAAACGCGTTACCCGTCGGACCCGTTCTCCTCCAGCGAGCCAAGCG